ACAAGTGTTCAGAAAGCCATGGGGTCTGCCAGATGAAGGCAGTTGTCCTGTGGAGACATCCTGTCATAGGCAGGCATGGCTGAAGGCAACAGCATGAAAACTAAAGCTGCTTCCTGATTGAATTTACTGAGTTCTGCGTGATCAAGGTAGGAAAGACCTATCTATGCAGGAAGGCAGAGGAGGTATCTGTGAAGGAAGCACTGAGTCATGAGGAGATAGCATCTAGGATATGAAGGGAAGTTTTCAGTGAACTTGGATTGTGGCAGCCAAAGGGGAGTAGGACTGCAAGCCAGAAAAATGCACACACACCCAGCTCCCCACCCCCCAGCCCTCCTGCCACACCCACAAGGCTCTGCACTTGTGCACTCCCCATTTCTTCCACACCCAGAGGCTATGCAGGAGTCTATGAGATGCTGCAATAAATTCTCTATCCACAGACTTTCAGAGCCAACAAAAAAGCCCTAGAGGAAAGGAAGGAAACAGACCTGGACAGATGAAATGACTCGCCCAGGGCTGCACAGAAGGGTCTAAAATAAAAACCTCCGGATTTGTGTCCCAGCACACCTCCATCACTACAACATTCACAGACACTGTTAAATTTATTAATGAAATACTAGGTTTCATGATGTTTCTAAAGACAAGTACTTTACAAATAAACAACTGCAGCACATGCCTCTCGTTCATGGTTATAAAAAGGACTGGCGCATGGTTATAAAAGGACTATCGCTTTTCTGTAAGATGCAGCAGGTTACTAAATAAAGGCTGTTAGGAAACTGTTGGCTTCATTTCCAGCAGTCCTAAGTACTTGTATTAGTCTGTTTCTGTTGCTTATGATAAAATACTTGGAACTGGCAGTTTATAAGAAAATGAAATTTATTGCTTACAGTTTCAGAAGCTGGGAAGTCCAAAGTTCAGGGAACACATCTGGTGAAGGCCTTGGTGGTGGTGACAGTGATCCAGGGGTCTCACGTGGCAGAAAATGACAGAGCAGAGAGAGACTAAAAGCTCATGTGCTCTTCTTTTAAAGCCCTCAGAACCATACCCCTGACCACCATTATTAATCCATTCACTACTGCATGGTCCTACAATCTAATCACCACTTCAAGGCACCACCTTTCAATTACCACAATAGGATTTCCGATTCTCAACAGTTACAGTGGGAATTAAGCTTCTAATATATGAACTTTGGGGACACAGTCAATCATCCACAGCAGTGCTGATCTATACCCCAGCCACGGTGCTTCTGGTCTAGTCAGTTCTACAGTGCATCAGCATCTTGGATTCCCCTGGCTTTATCACACTTCCTTGAAGGGTACAAGAAATTCCTGCTTCAAGACTTTTTTCATGATCTAGATTTTTCTGAGTGGAAGACTTGGAACTGAACCATCAATTCAGGGTAAGCCTGACGCTTGTGAATGCTTCATACCTGTAGAACTATAGAACTCATGTTTAAGTAACAAAAAATGCTCCTTTATGTATAAAGATGGTCCTCTTTGCTCAGAATGATGACGTATAGTGGGGTGAGGAAGTAACACTTATCTAGCCAGCCAGACCTGCCTGACCAACCTTTGCAACAGGTGGGGTAATACAAGTCTTAACAAGACCACCCAAACAGCTGGAAGACAGCTCAAGGGAAGTCTACATTCAGTTTGTTTACTAAGCCTACTGGTTTTCTAATACACTTCCTCTGCATAATTTATTAATTAGGACTCACTTTATATGTCTCTTTTTTTCTTTACAATTTCATTTATTATTTTTATTCAGTACAGATGCATACCTTCATTTACTACCATTCTTTAAACAGTCATTGCTGCTATTTTTGTGTGACCTCTTTACTTTTGACCAGGGAGGCAGAGTACATGGTGATTAAGGAGATACAGATAGACAGGGCCTAACAGGCAGTTCTAGCCAAGGACTTACAAGCTCATTACCCTCGCAACTATTTTGTCTATGCATGGAATAATGACTTCCTTCTCAAAGTCGTGGTAAAGAGTATATTATGTAGAGTGTACATCTATCAAATGAATAGTAGAAGGATCACCTGAACCACTTAAATCTGCTTTTCTTATTTGCCTACCCAGCAGAATTGACTATACATATGTTAGATGCACATAAGTGTCTCCACTATATGTGTAAACTAGCTGCTCATAGCAGCTTTACTCCCAATGATATTGTGGAAAGCAATCCAAGTATCCATGGATGAATGGATAAACACAATGTGGTATATACATACACACACACACACAATGGAATATTGTCCAGCCTTAAAAAGGAAGAAAATTCTCACACACGCAATCCAAGTGTCCACGGATGAATGGATAAACACAATGTGGTATATACATACACACACACACACAATGGAATATTGTCCAGCCTTAAAAAGGAAGAAAATTCTCACACACGCAATCCAAGTGTCCACGGATGAATGGATAAACAAAATGTGGTGTGTGTGTATATATATATATATGTATACACACACACACATAATAAAATACTGTTCAGCCTTAAAAAGGAAGAAGATTCAGACATATGCCACAACATGGATGAACCTTGAGAACGTTATGCTAAGTGAAGTAAGCCAGTCACAAAAGGACAAATACCGTACGATGACATTTATATGAGGTACCTACAGAAGTTAAATATAAACAGAGAGAAAGCAGAATGATGGTTGGCAGGTGGTTGTGGAAGGGAGCAGAGATGGGAAGTTATTATTCAGTGGGTACAGAATTTCAGTTTTGCAAGATGGAAAATTTCTGGAGACAGATGGTGTGATGGTTGCACAACAATGTTAATGTACTTAATGCCACTGAAGTGTACACTTAAAAGTGGTTAAGATGGTAAATTCTATGTCATATTTACTTTACCATAATTTTAAATACATTAAAAAGAGAAAAAAAAAAGTGAAAAACTAGCTGCTTCAACCAAATGCTAATGAAGAGATCTCAGTAATTAGAGCTGTATTTGCTAAGCTGTCCTTGTTTTCTTTTAGACCTACATGCTAAAATACAATGATATTCTGGCTTTTATTTTCACTATTTGTGTTATTCTTTTTTTTTTTTTTTTTTCCTTTTTGTCTTTTTTCGTGTCTGGCAACGGATCGCAACCCTCAGTGTCACACCCGTACTAGACCGGGACCGGCAATGGGATCGCAACCCTCGGTGTCGCATCCGCACCTCGCTCAGCCAGTGAGCGGGAACCGGTCTGTATGTGGGATCTGAACCCTCGGCGGGAGCGCCGCCGCACTCCCAAGCAGCGCACTGTAGCAGTGCGCCGCCGGGCCAGCCCTTTTTTTTTTTCTTTTTTTTTTCTATTTGTGTTATTCTATCAAGTAATTTTACTTCATTAAAACAATTCTGCTGCAGTGAAATTGTCAGCTTTGAAGCATAAAAATTTCACCAGGAGAACATGTCTCTGATTTTATGAAGAATCCAGAGGGAATGAAAATTTGATTATAAAATGTGCTATTTTAGGTCTCCTTCATCCACACCCCTCCCAAAAAAAGGTAAAGAGAAATACACAGGATGTAACATTTTAATTTTTTAAGTAGATTTATCTTCCTAATTGTGTTTCACTCAGATAAAGGTAAAAATGTACATTATTTTATAAATAAATACCTATTATTTATAGTAAGTAGAGGTCTTAGGTATGAGGAGAAACTGGAGTAGGAAGAAAACTTAGTGGAAACGATCTATAGATAGATATCAGAAAAGCCATTAAAAACAAATTGTGAGAAAAATAACCATAGTAACTGCACAGAAAAAGCTGGTAGGATGGGTAGTTAGGTGGGAAAGAAAAAGCATGAAAAAGGGGCACATTTTAAGGTAATAAAATGTAAGTCCTATAAGTTAATTTTTAGGACGTTCTATTAAAACCTGCACACTTTTTCTATAAAGGTCCAGATAGTAAATATTTTCAGCTTTGTGAGCCATGTGGCCTTTTGGGGCAAATACTCAACCCTGCTGGTGCAGCCACAGGGAATGATGGTCATGGGCTGTGTTCCAATAAAACATTATTTACAAAAACAGGCAGCAGGCCGGATGTGGCCCACGGGCACAACTTTGCCAACCCCTGGTTAGAAAAAATACATAAATGGACAGTGTGGAATACAGTGTATCAATGCACATAGACTAAAATACCACAGATTCCTATTCTGTACCTCAGTGAACCAGACCCATGAGCAGAAATTAAAATTTAAAATGTTTCTCTACTAACAAAATTCTAATTGTCTTTCAGAGAAGAGGTAAGTGGCTCACTGACCTAAAAAGTTTGTAGTAGATTCCTCATTTGCACTAAAAATAAGATAATATCCCACCCATATTAAAACATTCGGAATGTTTCTTTTTCTTTAACAAAAGGTATTTTTTAGTACACAGAAATAAACTGAAAAGAGTCAAATTCTTACTCCAAGCACCCCTGTTTCTTCATAGTCAATTCTCAAGACAAAGAATAAAATCTGGGCCAGAAACTTCAAAGACACATTACTTTAATTCTGGTTACTGTCAAGACCTCCAAGGAATATATGAATGTTTATAGGACAGAAAATGTCTAAAAGATACTTATTACGACATAAAAACAAGTGAACAATACGCATGAAAACAGCACAGTTGTGTAAAAAAGGAAACTACACACCCAAACTCTCTCCCCCCACATTCTCGCTTGTGTGTACAAGAAAAATTTTGGAAGGTTACCTTGCTCACCTCTGAGAAGTAGGATTCTAAGTTTTGAAGTACTCATATTTTACTTTACCTTATTGTGTACTTTTATATTTTTTGTCATAAGCATGTATTACTTTTAGTGTTAAGATTTTTATGTTGAGATTGTAACTAAAATGTTTGTTACCTTCACTATTAAGAGTCAATTTGAATATGAATATTTTTAACAAAAGAATATTTACTTATAGGACTTCTACATTCCATAAAGATCATCACATAACAAGAATATTTATATACACATCCATGAGATGTGGTCTGTGAGGTTAACATTTCACAGTTGTACGATACCTCAGCTCCACCCATCCACTTAGGCTCATCAGGAAACTCAGCACACAAAATATCTTCTGACTGATTGGTCCCCAAGACATGGTAGCAGAGCTTTTGGTGAAGATTGGTGGATGTCTCTGTGCCTGAAGGAGTTAGAAATGAGTGTACACAAATGTGGTTGGTAATTTTAAGAAATTCTATTCCACCCATATTGTACAATGCTAGAAACAATTTAAAAGTATCTGGTTGAAAAATACAATGTTAATACACAAAAGTCAATCACTTTCCCATATACCAGCAGTAAACAAATGGACTTTCAAATTAAAAACACAATACATTAGCAACCTCCAAAAATGAAATATTTAGGTATAAATCTAACAAAACATGTATAAGATATATATGAGAAACTTTTTTAAAAACTACAAAACTCTGACGAAATAAATCAAAGAACTAAATAAATAGTCCATGCTCAGGGACAGGAAGACTCAATATTGTTGAGATGTTGGTTCTTCTCAAATTGATCTACAGATTCAATGCAACCCCAATCAAAATACCAGCAAGTTATTTTGTGGATATTGACAGACTGATTCTAAAGCTTATATGGAGTGGCAAAATACCCCAAATAGCTAACACAATATTGAAGGACAAGAACAAAGTGGGAGGACTGATACTACCTGACTTCAAGACTTACTATAAAGCTACAGCCATCAACACAGTGTGGTGCTGGCAAAAGAACAGACAAATAGATGAATGGAACAGAAAACAGAGCCCAAAAGTAGAGCCACATTAATACAGTCAACTTACTCTTTGACAAAGGAGCAAAGGTAATACAAAGGAGAAAAGACAGTCTTTTCAACAAATGATGCTAGAAAAACTGGACATCACATGCCAAAAAAAATGAATCTAGACACAGAACTTACACCTTTCATAAAAATTAACTCAAAATGGATCACAGACCTACATGTAAAACTTAAAACTATTTATCTCCTAGAAGATAACATAGGATAAAATCTAGATGACTCTGGGTATGCTGATGACTTTTTAGATACAACAACAAAGCACAATCCATGAACGAAATAACTGATAAGTTGGACTTCATTAAAATTAAAAACTTCAGCTTGGCAAAAAAAATACTGTCAGGAGAAGAAAAAGAAAAGCCACAAATTGGGGGAAAACATTTGCAAAGGACATATCTGATACAGAACTGTTACCCAAAATATACAAAGAATTCTTAAGACTCACCAATAAGAAAACAACACAATTAAAAACTGTACCCAAAACCTTGATACCTCACCAAAGGAGATACACAGATGGCAGATAAGCATATGAAAAGATGCCACACATCAGATGTCATCAGGGAAATGCAAATTAAAACAATGAGATACCACTACACACATATTAGAATGGCCAAAATCCAGAACACTGACAACACAAATGCTGGAGAGAATGTGGAGGAAAAGAAACTCTCATTCATTGCTGGTGGGAATGCAAAATACTACAGTCACTTTGGAAGACAGTTTTGGTGGTTTCTTACAAAACTAAACATACTATTACCATGCCATCAAGCAATCGTGCTCCTTGGTATTTACCCAAAGGGGTCGAAAACTTATGCCCAAACAAAAACCTGCAGGCAGATTTTTTTATAGCAGCTTTATTCATAATTGCCAAATTTGGAAGCAACCAAGAGGTCTTTCAGTAGGTGAATGGATAAACTGTAGTACATCCAGACTACGAAATATTATTCAGCACTAAAAAGAAATCAAGCCATGAAAAGACATGTAGGAAACTTAAATGTATTATTACTACGTGAAAGAAACCAATGTAAAAAGGCTGCATACTGTATAATTGCAGCTATAGGACATTCTAGACAAGGCAAAACTGTGGAGACAGTAAAGAGACCAGTGGTTGCCAGGGGATGGAGGAAGGGAGGGATGAACGGGCAGAACACAGGATTTTTAGGGCAGTAAAACTACTCTGTATGATACTCTAATGGTGGATACGTGTCATTAAACATTTGTCTGAACCCATAGAATGTACGACACCAAGAGCAAATGGTAATGAAAACTACGGCCTTTGGGTGATACTGATGTGTCAGTGTAGATTCATCAGTTGTAACCAACAAAACTACTCTGTATGATACTCTAATGGTGGATACGTGTCATTAAACATTTGTCTGAACCCACAGAATGTACGACACCAAGAGCAAATGGTAATGAAAACTACAGCCTTTGGGTGATACTGATGTGTCAGTGTAGATTCATCAGTTGTAACCAATGTGCCACTCTGGCAGGGGATGTTGACAACAGGAGCGGCTACACGTGTGGGGCTGGGGTAAATGGGAAATCTCTGTACTTTCCTCTCAATTTTGCTGTGAACTTGAAACTACTCTAAAAAATAAAGTTTATTTAAAAAAAATTATCAGTTGGATATCAGAAATATAAATAATACCTATAAGTAATTCACACATATTTGCTGATTTTGGAGACTACTATGAGACCGAACTTTTTTTCATTATGAAAATGTACCAAGCTTTCAGTGCAATATAGGAAAAAAAGTAAGATAATACCATAATGTAAAAAAGAAAAAAGCTTTGTGGCACTTACGTGATTTTCATTGTGTTTTCCAGGAACACTGATTAGAAGCACACAGTATGAATTGCTTACCTTCATTTGTATAGGCCCCCAACAAGAGGGCAGCAAAATTACATCTGGGAAAAGATGTTGGCTTTCTTAAATTAATCACAATAACTAATCATTACTATTATTGTCACTGAAAGCTGAGGGTAAATAACACCTTCAATGCTTTTCCCAAGTTAACTTAATAACATTATTCTCTAACAGGAATTGGCCAGTTATACTTTTTTTTGTCTTCCATAACTTGAAAATAAGCAATATTTTCTAACTCTGGGGCATTCTGAACACAGGCAGCTAATTCAGTATACAGAGTACAACCATCTTTCTTTCGCTGAACTTTCTTGAATAAAAAGCCTACTCCTAGCTCCTCTTGTAGTTCCTTAGTGAATTAAAAAAGAGTTTGTTGGAGCCTAATCAAAAGGCAGCAAAAGCTAACCACAGCCAAAAAAGATGAAAAGCAGTAGATCGTTATTCCCAGTTCACCCAGGGGGGGAAAGAGAAAAGAAGGCAAGCAGAACTGAAGATGAGAAAGATACAGCAAGTCATGCTAAGGGGACAGCATGCCCAGCAGGAAGGACTACAGCAGCTGGGCTGCTTGCCAGCTCCACACCCTCCAGCAAATGCATGAAGGTTGAGACAGCCTCCTCATCCCAGTCGAGGGCCCCGACATGTCAAACAGTCAGGCCAACATCAGCCAACTGACCCACAGGTGACCACAGATAACATGTTAGAACTCAGCCACACCCAGAACTGCCTGGCGAACCCACAGACTCATAAACAAAAATACATGCTTATTATTTCAAACCACTAAGTTTTGGTGTGGTCTATTACAGAGCAAAGCTAAGTGATACAACAAGTTTCCTTTGAGGAAACTTGGCTGTAAACCAAACAACCTCTACGTAGGGTTTACCTTTTCTTTTTAGTCATTTGAAGTCACACCTCATTTTGTAAAAGAAAAGTGCTTCATCTAAAGTCTTCACTTACCATCACTTTTTCCATCCTGTTGGGGGTATGAGTTGTAGAACATTCCCTTCCCATCATGGGTCCAGGCCATACAGCTGAACTTGACTCTTTCAAGCACATCTGGAAGCTCTTTGGCACCATCGACTTTCATGAACTTGATCGTCACCCAGTCTGAGCCACTGGCACTCAGACCATAGGCAAAATATTCACCATCTTCACTGAACGCGTAACCTATGGGACAGAGGAGAAGTGGTCAAATGGCGAACATGGAGACGCAGCTCCTAGTCTTGCCCACTGCCCTCTATGCTGTCTGATGAAGCTTTCCATTGTAATGCAGAGGCAGAATGTGGCAACAGAAGGTGTAGAAAACTGGGGACTCAGCCCAAGTCTCATAGGAATCACCCTTACGACCTTGGACAAAGTTTCTAATTTCTCTAGGTCTTAGTTTGTCCATCTATAAAATGAAGTATTGGCTATGTCCATTAAGATGCTTCCATTGTGAAATTTTTATAATTCAACAGGCAGTTCAGTTAAAAGCAGAACTCTTCTGGAACTTTAAGCATATTTTATTTACACTCAAAAGAAAATAAGAAAACTGCTTTTAGAGTAATGACTGGATTATGACACATATCATATAATAGAACTAAATTGTAGCTATTAGGTAATTTTGGGGATAGATTCCAAAGTACAGTAACTGAAATGCTCTTTACAACCTTATTTTTACAGCATTACTGGCACTCAAGGACTAATGTCCACATCATCTGACCATCAAAGGCCCAAGTAAATAAAGCCTGAGGGTTTTCAATGAAGGCTCAGAGAATGCACACTCCAAAAGTGACTTTGACGAGGAAAGGCAACACTATCTACAGACTGTTATGCCATGTCCAATTTTTGGTGCTCTCACAGAATGTTCTTATCACTATGGAATGTTTCTTGACAAATATTTACATGTTTTATACTGGCTTTTATAATTATGAAGTACATATAGCATTTGATACCATATGTCCCATTAGAAATGCTGACACCAGAGATTTTCTCTTACTATGAGTGCTAAACTTTTTGGGGATTGAAAATTGTAAGAAGCTCAACTATTATCAGAAGTTTTCTACTATTTTAAATTAGAATTACAATTAATGGGAAATTAATTTAAAACTTCACAAATATCCAAATCATGGGTGTTCCAGAAAGGGAGAAGAAAGGAAAAGGCATTGACAACCTTTTCAATGAAATAATAGTGGAAAAATTCCCAAGTACTGGGAGAGACATGGACTTTCAGATCCAAGAGGCTAAAAGATCCCCAAACAGATTCAATCCAAAAAGGTCCTCTAATGGGACATATTATAGTCAAACTGGCAAAACTCAAAGACAAAGACAGAATGTTAAAAAATGCCAAGAGAAAAGCATCAAGTCAACTATAAGGAAGTTGCCATCAGACTAATAGCAGACTTCTCAGGAGAAACCTTATAGGCCAGAAGAGAATGGGATGATATATTCAAAGTACTAAAAGAATAAAACTGCCAGCCAAGAATATTATACCCAGGCAGGGCTATCATTCGGAAATGAGGGAGAAATAGTGTATTTCCCAGACAAATAGAAACTGTGGGAGTTCATCACCATACGACCAGCCCCAAAGAAATTCTCAAGGAAGTCCTGCATCTGGAATACGAAAAATGACAATCACTACCATGAACACAAGAAAGAGCAAACCCCACTGGTAGAACAAAAATGCAAGCAAGAAGGAGAAAGAAACTATAGCTTACCACCTCAAAAAAACAATGAACACCAAAGACAAACAATAAAAGGGGAAGAAAGGAAAAAAAAAATACTGAAAACAACCAAACAAAAATTGATAAAATGCCAGGAGGAAGAAAATACCCTTCAATAACAACCCTAAATGTAAATGGATTACATTCCCCACTCAAAAGACACAGGATTAAAAAGCTAGGCCCAACGCTGTATTTGAGAGACTCACCTCAACTATAAAAACACATGCAGTGAAGGGATGGGAAAAGATGTACCACACAAATGGAAACCAAAAGCAAACAGGAGTAGCTATTCTTATATCAGGTAAAATAGACTTTAAACCAAAAATCATAAAAATAGACAAAAGAAGACTATTACATAACAATAAAGAGATCTATCCAGTAAGAAGACATAACAATCATAGGTATATATGCATTCAACACCAGAACACCCAGATATATAAAGCAAACACTATTACACCTAAAAAAAAAGATAGACCACAATCTGATAATAGGTGAGGACTTGAACACCTGTCTCTTAGTATTGGACAGATCATCTAGGCAAAAAAATCAACAGAGAAACAGTATTTAAACTATACTTTACACCAGTTGGAGTTGGCAGATATCTACAGAACATTTCATCCAACAACTACAGTTACACATTCTTCTCATCAGCACATCAAACATTCTCCAGGAGAGACTGCACGTTAGTTCACAAATAAAGCCTTAAGAAATTTTTAAAAACTGAAATAATTTCGAGTATCATTTCAGACCACAATGGATTAAAACTAGAAATCAAAAACAAACAACACTCTGGAAACTATACAAATACATGGAAATTAAACAACATGCTCCTGAATAACCTATGGGTCCAAGAAGAAATTAAACAGGAAATCAAAAAATGTCTTGAAACTAATGGAAATAAAGACACTTCATACCAAAACTTATGGGATACTGCAAAAGCAGTACTATGAAGGAATTTTATTGCAATAAATGCTTACATCCAAAGAATAGAAAGATTTCAGATAAAAACCTAATGCTACACTTCAAAGAACTAGAAAAACAAGAACAATCCAATCCCAAAGCTAGTAGATGGAAAGAAATGATCAAGATCAGAGCGGAAGTAAATGAAATAGAGACCCAAAAAACAATACAAAAGATCAGTGAAACAAAAAGTAGGTTTTTTGAGAAGAAAAACAAAATAAACAAGCCATTAGCTAAGCTGACTAAAAAAAGAAAAGACCCAAATAACGAAAATCAGAAATGAAAAAGAAGACATTACAACTGATACCACAAAAATACTAAGAATCTTTACAGACTGTTAACAATTATACACCAATAAATTTGAAAACCTGGAGGAAATGTATTAAATTTCTGGACACATACAAACTACCAAGACTGAACCAAGAAGAAACAGAAAAACTGAACGGATCAATAGCAAACAACAAGATTGAAGCAGTAATCAGCAGTCTCCCAACAAAAAGAAGCCTAGGACTGGATGCCTTTAGTACTGAATTCTACCAAACCTTTAAAGAGGCATTAATACCAATTCTCTTCAAACTATTCCAAAAAAATTGAAACAGAAGCCATTCTCCCAAATTCAGTCTATGCTAGCATCACCCTGATACTAAAACTAGACAAACATACAACAAAAAAGAAAACTACAGGCAAATATCTCTGATAAACACAGATGCAAAAACCTTCAACAAAATATCAGCAATCAGAATACAGCAACACATCAAAAAATTATACACCATGATAAAGTGGGATTCATCCCAGGGATGCAAGGATGGTTCAACATATGTAAGTCAATAAATATCATATACCACACCAACAAAATCAAGGACAAAATCTATATGATTATCTCACTAGATGCAGAAAAAGCATTTGACAAAATCCAACATCCTTTCATGAAAAAGATTCTCAGCAAATTAGGTACACAAGGAAAGTATCACAACACAATAAAAGCAATATACAACAAACCGACCCCCAATATTATCTTGGATGGGGAAAAGCTGAAAGCCTTTCCCTTAAGAACAGGAACAAGACAAGGATGCCCACTCTCACCACTCCTATTTAACATAGTATTGGAAGTACTAGCCAGAGCAATCAGGAAAGAGAAAGAAATAAAGCACATCCAGATCAGAAAAGATGAAGTCAAACTATCCCTGTTTGTAGAGTACATGATCCTATCTATAGAAAGCCTAAAGACTATTAAAAAACAAACAAACAAACAAACAAACAAAAAAAACAACCTCTTGGAGCTGATCAACAATTTCAGTAAAGTTGCAGGATTAAAAAATCGACATGCATGGGCCGGCCCGGTGGCGCACTGCTACAGTGCGCTGCTTGGGAAGCGCGGCAGTGCTCCCGCCGAGGGTTGGGATCCCACATACAGACCAGCTGCTCACTGGCTGAGCGAGGGGCGGGAGCAACGCCGAGGGTTGCGATCCCGTTGCCGGTCCCGGTCCGGTACGGGCGCGACACTGAGGGTTGCGATCCGTTGCCGGTCACGAAAAAAGACAAAAAGGAAAAAGGAAAAAAAAAAAAAAATCAACATGCAGAAATGAGTAGCATTCCTATACTCCAATAATGAAGTAGTAGAAAAAGCAATCAGGAAAGCAAGCCCATTTACAATAGTCACCAAAAAAAAAAATAAACTACCTAGGAATCAATTTTACCAAGGAGGTGAAAGATCTTTACAATGAGAACTACAAATCACTGCTGAAATAAATTAAAGAGGACACAAAATGATGGAAAGACATTCCGTGCTCTTGGATTGGAAGAATTAATATTGTGAAGATGTCCATACCACCCAAAGCAATCTACATATTCAATGCAATCCCCTAAAAATAACAATGACATTCATCACAGAAATAGAGAAAAAAATCCTAACATTCACATGGAACAACAAAAGACCCTGAATAGCCAAAGCAATCCTGAGCAGGAAAAATAAAGCCAGAGGCATGACAATATCTGACTTCAAATTATACTACAAAGCTATAATAACCAAAACAGCATGGTACTGTCATAAAAGCAGACATTTGGACCAATAGAACATAGAACCCAGAAATCAACCCACATACTTACAGCAAACTGATCTTTGACAAAGGCAACAAGAACATACACTGGGGAAAAGGCTGCCTCTTCAATAAATGAGGCTGCAAAAACTGGACACCCATATGTAGAATAATGAAACTAGACCCATACCTCCATCATTTACCAAAATCAACTCAAAGTGGATTAGAGGCATAAATATATAAGAACTGAAACTATAGAAGTCCTAAAAGAAAACAGGGAAACACTTCAGGAAGCAGGAATGGGCAAAGACTTTATAAATAAGACTCCAAAAGCGTAGGCAACAAAAGAAAAAACAAACAAATGGGATTATACCAACCTAAAAACCTTCTGCACAGCAAAAGAAACAGTTGACAGAGTGAAAAGACAATCTACAGAACTGGAGAAAATATTCACAAATCATGCATCCAACAAGGGATTAATATCCAGAATATACAAGGAACTCAAACAACTTAACAGTAAAAAAACAAGTAACTCGATTAAGAAATGGTCAAAGTAGCTGAACAGGCATTTCTCAAAGCAAGATATACAAATGGCCAACGGACACATGAAAAAATGCTCAGCATCACTAATGATCAGGGAAATGAAAATCAAAACCACACTGAGATATCATCTCACCCCAGTTAGACTGGCTATTATCAAAAAGACAGAATAACAAATGCTCACAAGGATGTGGAGAAAAGGAAAACCCTCCTATACTATTGGTGGGACTATATATTAGTGCAGCCATTATGGAAAACAGTATGGAGGATCCTCAAACAACTACAGACAGAACTGCAATGCAATCCAGCAATCTCACTGCTGGGTATATACCTGAAGGAATGGAAATCATCATGTAGAAGGGATACCTGCATTCCCATGTTTATTGCAACTCCATTTAAAATAGCCAAGAGTTGGAACCAACCTAAATGTCATCAATGGACAACTGGATAAGGAAAGTGTGGTATATATACATAATGAAATACTACTCTGACATAAAAAAGAATGAAATTCTGCCATTCACAGCAACATGGATGAACTTAGAGAAAATTATATTAAGTGAAATAAGCCAGGCACAGAAAGAGAAATACCACATCTTCACTCATAAGTGGGAACTAAAAAACAAAGATGTAACAATCACAATAATCTGATGAAATTTCAAAAGGAGAGAACAGAATTGAGGCCACAGGAGGTGAGAAAGGAGGAGGGGGGAGGGAGACTAATGAGAAATTGGTAAAAGGTCACAAAAAAATGATTACATTGTGTAATGTTGAATATACTAATTATTTTGACTTGAACATCACATATTGCACACAAGTATTGATATTCAATCCTGTACCCCACAGATATATACAATCATGTTTCAGTAAAAAAAAATTTTTAACTTAAAAAAAGTGAAAATAAATAAAATTTCACAAAACTTACTAATTAATCACTTCTTAGTCCTGTAAAGTATCCAGGCTCATATGTATGTAAATGCAGAAAAAGGGTCTGATATGTGATGGGGAGAAGAAAGATATTCACCTTTTATTCTACACGGCACTGTAGTTTTCGGATTATTTATATATAATTGGAAAATTTTCAGGAAAAATTTAAATAAAACATTTTGATTTGAAATACATGTTTAAAAAATCATATACTATCAATAGAATCTGACTATTTACTAAAATTTTAACTTTTCTGTAATACCATTCTCAGAGAACTCAATGACTGTTTGAGGCCAGGTCTCATGCCTAATTTACCACCTTCTCATCCATCAAGGCTTTGTGCATGCAAGCATTCCAGAAAGAAGTCACTAGAATGCATCACTGGGGTGAGAGGTAAGACCCTGTTAAAGGGAAGTCCTTCTGAATGGGTTGCCTGATAGATCTTTGGAAAAATAAAATGAATTCCTATACAAAATATGTTACAGCAACAAAACCAGTGTATTAAACTCATTTAAAACTACAGGCTCAGATTAATGGCAGAACACTCATTGATCTGGCTGGTGTCTTACTTTCAATAGTGATTTCATAAAGAATCGTTTACTACACAGCCTATTTGGGGAGAGGGGAGAAAGAGGACCACTGAATGACAGACTCATGTTTAGAAATGACTATTTATTGTGATTCTGCATATTCGCTAAATAGACAAATAAAGACTATTTTATCTGCTAAAATTAAAATTGATATTCAAATAAATAAAGCAGTAACGTTTCCTTTTAAATGGAGAGGGAAAGCAGATTTTCTAGGATGAAATTCTGGTTCGCTTCCCTAGCCAAGCTGCTGGGGTAGGAAGTGGGCACACTTTTTCTGTAAAGGTCAAGACTACAGGCATTACAAGCCTGCGGGCCATATAGTCTGTCACTGTAATACTTAACTCTGCAGTTGTAGCACAAAAGCAGCCATGGACAACACACAGACAAATGGAAACGGCTGTGTTCAAATTAGGCTTCATTTATAAAAACAGGTGGCTGGCAGGGTTCGGCTCCAGACTGTACAGATCTCTGTGTAGTGGGGGAGGGGTGTATTCAAGAAATTCTAAAGTAAATTTGTGATGGTGGTTCCAAAGAGATTTTGAAAAA